TCCTCTCCTTATTTTATTTTTACTGGTCTATTTCTTAAATTCGCTCCTAAAACAAGCAGATCTTTTTTTGTTTCCATTTCCAAAGGATGAAAAAAAAAAAAGGGGGGGAGTGAGACACACACACACAAAGCCAAAAAGAAACAGAGAATCCAAGTGGAGAGGTATGTGTTATTGGACAAGTGCTTAATTTATGGAACTTGGCCYGCAGAACAAGAGTTTGAATTGTACTTCAATAAGTGGAGCTCTTAGAATAAATGTGGCTTGTAAAGTTGTTTTACAGTCTGCTTTGCAGAGCAGCCAACACCTCATGGAAACCTTTGAAAAACATTCTGTTTAGAAGCAACGGTGTTTATATTTCATATTTTCTCTATTTGTTTTCCCCTCTGGTTTTATAACTGGAACCACATGCAGGAAAACAGGACTTTTGAGTCTTAAAATACCTACCTGGGCTGACTACTTTTATTATTAAAAAAACAGTTCRCATTTTGAAAATTCTTTATATATTAGGCACTTGGTTCAAACACTAACTTGCCCTTGTTTGATTCCCCAGTCAGCTACAGACTTCCTGAATGGTCTTGGGATAGCTGCTTAGCTGGCATTCATCTCCCCTCTCCCTAGTATATGCAGTGCAGCTGTCCTCATCTAAGCTGCCTGGTTATTCTTCCCACTATAGACAACAAATACAACAGAGTTTAGGCCACGGTTCCTCTGCACAGGGTGAGATGGGAGGAATCATGCTCTAGACGTGTCTGCTGACGTGCTCTCCATGAACCAAGGTGGGAGTCCGGGTAAGCTGCCCAGATATAGACACCCATCCAGATAGATCCTATCCAAGTCTCTCTGTACAGCCAAAGAAATGCRACAGATCTCTGGGAGGAAATCTATCCCACCTTGAGAACAACAACWGACAAATCTGGGTGAATTGCCCCAATACCCTTCTCTTTACATGRACTGTAAAGGAATTCTGCTCCACCAAAATCATTTAGAAGACCTGTGGCAAAGCAGGAAGCCAAACCCTCCTTCTCCATGGTCGCACACACAAATATATATGTACAATCCACACATAAACCATATCAATGCTCCATCTCACTAAGATAATCCAACAATCCTTGTGCCTCCTTTCATCAGATTTGGAAATACTGCTGCAACGGAGGGGACAAAGGAAGCAGCACAGAAAAATATCTCCTTGGAGCTAAGCACAGTATTGCAYTGTACACAACACAGATTGGAAAGGAAGATGCAGAAAGGCTCCAAGACCACATCATAAAAGCCAAGCATCTAAATTAGGATGTAAGAGTCATATTTAGCCACATAAGCTAAATTGCCCTGATTGCTAACTCCACTCTGTGGTAGTTGTGTTTATGCAGATATGACAGAAGTGCCTTGGAACGTGGGTTTGTTTAATGCCTGTGATAGGAAACGAGTTTATTTGGGTATTTTGTTTCYTTCGGGTAGATGTGTGTTTTTCATATATATTTAAAAGTCTTCGGCTAAGCATTCTTTACCATCTTTCTGCAGCTCTATTACCTTGAGCTTCAGAGCCTATTTCAAAATGCCCTGCTTTGTTCATTTATTTTCAGTGTCACGGGCTGATCCCTGGTAGAGCCTTGCTCCGTAAAATCATTACGACTCAGCCAAGCATTCTGCCACCGTCCCAAAGTTTTGCCCTCTAGCTGTACACTGTATTTCTTTACAGATTTCTTTTCTATTTCTTTATGGTCTGCTCTGAGAGCAACATGCTTTTACAAACTGTTTCTTTTCAAGTCCCTATGAGGCCACATYCCTTGAAGTCAAAACTTTTTCTGATCACCTCTATGCTTTCAGCCTTCCCGGCTCCCCTGCTGATTTCTTTTAATCTCCATGTCCTGGAGTCAGGTGATACCATGGGACTCTCATTAAAAAAGAACTGAAGTTTCCAGGCTGGGTGATTACTTGGGAAAGCTACCAAACACAATGACAAAAGACTCATATCCTGAAAACGAACATGGAAACCCAGAACTTGCTTAAATATCTTGTAATTTTAAAGCGAGGATTTTCACTCTGAGGAAGGAGGTTAAAGCACAGGCTTGCAATCCTGGGAAAGGAGGAAATGACGATTGCCCAGGCTTGGCTTCAGACACCTTAGTTAGGACTAAGCTGCTTATACAAACAGTATAGATAGCAGGAGTCTAAAGTCACAGCTCCAGGCACACCTTGTCTGATGGGAAAGCTGGTTTAAGCTTCATGCATCAACCACCACCCTGGCCACACATCATCCCTCTGTCCACGATCCGCTCAACTGTATAGTTATTTTTTGTGGGGCTGTACAAGAAGCCACATAGCTGCAGGAAGATGGGTGAAAGCTGCCCTCTGGCCTCCCTCCATAAGAATTAAAATCACATCACGGCTCACCCAGCATTGCCTTGGCATTGGTCAACCCATCAGCTCTAGGTGTGCCATGAGTCAGGTTCTCACCAGCTGTAATTAGCTAACTGCCTAATTATTTCTCTGTTATTTGTGGAGTATGGAGTCTGCTTACTGATGGCTTGTGCAGAGATCACTGTGATCTTCAGAGCCCCAAAGGACCTTCTCTGACTGTTTGACCACCTGAGCCCCTGTGCTGCAGGGCTCTATGGTCCACCACCAAGGCAGTGGTCAACACTTCAGCATCCCCATGGCTCTTTTGCATGCTTTATCTCCATAAAAATTTGGTAATTCTTCAGCCATCTCTTCTCATTCTACCCCAGTTTGCTCCCCTATGTGGACTGGGTTAGCTTGCTCTCTTCTGCACAGAGATTTTGTTCCTTTCTTATCCATAGGGAGATAGCAAACGGGAATCATAGGAAAAGAGCTCTTTTTTTCTTAGCTCCACAGCTTTGGTGCCCTTCGATGCTGCCTACAGGTCTGTTGCAGGCGGTTGAATGATTTAAAGCACCAGCCTGGGATCCCAGATCCCTCTTCCATAAACTTTGAGGTTGACCTTGGCAAAATCTTAGGCTGGAATTTCTCTCACATAAAAATAGCTCAGCAGCCAGGTTCCCTCTATAGCTTGTGGAAAGAAAGGGACATCCCCTCGCTCATACCTGAGATAGAAAAAAAATAAAATAAAATAAAAAACAAAAGGAAGAAGGCAATGAGTCACTCTCCAGAGGTGTTAACCTTCCTTTGTATTGACTGCAAAGGGCTCTCACATGGCCACTTTGCACTGCACACCTAGAAGTTAAACTATGYGCCAAAGGGACAGATTTTTAAAATTATAAAGGCCCTATACCTCAATTTCAATGGGAATTAAGCAAGTAAATCTGGGCTTTGGAAGGTTTGCAGGGATCTTTCCGCTTTGCAAAGCAGAACAGCATTTTTCCTAGCGAGCATTAGAAGGAGTGCAGGACGTTCAGACGCTACGAAGGCAGACACGGCCATTCAGGATTTATTCCCCCTTCTGATGACAGCTGCATTGTGCTACTGGTGCTGAATATTGTTCACAACAAAAGGGCCACTTCCCCTCTTTGTGAATGTGTCCCCATCACTGGCAACCCCATGAGATGTCCCAGCCTGAGGGCTGGGCAGAAACTGGGGTCCTGCCTTGCTCAGGACCACATGAAATAGCAGCAGAAAGGAAGAGGTGTTTGGTGGTGTCTGCTCCTTGTCTAACCGCGTCCATTATGCATCACAAACACAGAGGGCTCTGAAAGGAGCACAACTTCGCTTCACTTCTTACAGCTGCACCCAATTCCCTGCCTTGCTGGCTGCGCTCGTGCACAAGGTCCCTGCAAAGGCTCTCGCTGCGCCGGGGAGGAGCTGCCGGCAGAGAGAGCCAAAGCACCGAGATCAGGAGGCACGATGAATTCCCAGGGCTCACGCACGGAGCGCCCGGCCATGCTGGAGAGCCCTCTTCTTTGGGCACCAGGAGCGCAGATATCTGCACTGCCCTCAATGTTCCTCCTTCCCTGCAGCCAGGCACTCCCTCCTCATGCTGCCTGCAGCTTTATGCTCATCTCCAGCCTGCCCGAGCTGCCAGAAACCAAATTCCCACCAGAAGGTGGTGCCCATATTCCRTGAAACTCAGAGCAGGCTCTGCAACCTCGTCCACTCCTGCTCAAYGCCTGGCCATGGAGCCACCCAGCTCCAAAACAAGCACGGCAGAACCAGAGAGCAGCTGATGCCAGGCCCCTCTGGCGGCTGCAGTAGCATCTTTGCATGAAAATAACCTCCTGCATAGCTCATTGGGATGCAGTGCAGTATATTATACCTTAAGGTTTTATTCCCTAATGGGCTTTCTAAGGAATAGAGCCCTGCAATTGCAATTAGTAGTTTAATAATCCCACGTTCCTGCCTGGATTTTCACCTGCTAACTAAAAATCATGCAGTCACGAATCCGTTTGGATCATCTCTGTCCAGAGCCACGTGTGGACACAATAATTTGTTGCTACCACAGTTTGCTCTTGATGGTGAAAAGCAGATATGAAATAAGAACTGAGGGGAGGCCATAGACTTGCTGTGATGTGCGACAGCACTGAGTCAGAATTCAGAGGAATACGGGCTCTGGCCTCTCCTCTGCTCCGTCCTCATGTCCTGCTGTCTTGCTGTCTGCTCCTGCGCTGGCAACTTGTGTCACGTCCCGCAGGAACCCTAGTTGAGCAGCAGCAAGGTTGTTCCTCAACATCAGCCACAGCAGACATACCTGGCTGCTGGTCAGCACGCAGGGACAGTGGGCTGTGTGGCAGATGTCTCTCTCACAGTCTTTGTGTCACGGCTCCTTGGCATCAGTGGGTCACGTCCAGACCTTAGTCTGCACCGTAAGGTAGACACAAAGCTATAAACCACAACGCTCTGCCTCCACGGGCTGTAGGGTGCTGGTTCAGGTAGGGTCATGCATGTCCCTTCGTCAGTGGATCGTCCTCTCCTTGGTTAAGAGCATCATTATGGAGCTCTAAACTACAGCAGAAACCTACACAACTAACCAAAAAGGTTTTCTAACACTCAAGCTTTGTGATTTACAGTTCTATCCTCAGCCTGAAAAGATGGAGCTTGGAGAAATTGTTGCTGAATGTCCTAGTGAGAAAAAGCTGTATGCAGAGAAGGAGCCCAGAGACCAGAGCCTGCTGCAGAAAAGCGGAAAGCAAATGTCTCAGCTGTTGGGGTATCTCACAGGAGACATGAAGGAGTGTGGACACTGGGTGAAAGGTAAGCACAGGGCTTGTGTTTGGTGCTCTCCAGGTAGGAACAGCCCATGGGGATCACGTCTATCACTGTCAGCGTGTCAGGAGTGGGGGGCTACAGTCAACTCTCACTGGGAACCTCTGCCTTTTCAGCCCAAATCGTCTCGTTCTCAGGAAGGGAAACCCACTGCATCCTCTTGCCCTTACCATGACCGCACACATAATCTAGCAGAGGGAAAGGAAATTTTTCACGCTTAATCAGTCATGTGTCATTAGCATCATGTTTCTTATAGCAGTGCMCCGAAGTACACGTCAGGGCTGGGGAGTTGGCTTCATTGACGAATGCTTTGGATCAATGGGTGTCCTCTCATCCATGCGTGGGCTGACAGTGGGGACCTGACTCCCAATTGAGCAGGGAATGCTCTTGTACTACCAGCCTGGGGGGAACAACAAGCGCTGTGGGTGTCGTGGAGCTATAAAACACAAAGCAGTGATCTCCAAGTTTTGCTGGCCAGACATGACCAGATGGTCCACGTTACCCAGAATCATTAGGGATGTAGAGCTTTGAGAGGCCATGTAAGACTGTGGGTCCTCTGTCAAGACTGAGTGTATTAACAGTCCAGCTACAGCAACAAAACAAGAAATAAGAGATGTTGTATATCACTTGCCTGAGCAGTGGCTGTCCATGGGGAGGAGGTGGCCAAGATGCCCCCAGGCAGGGAACCTGGCCAGCCCATGATGCAGTCCCCAGCCACAGGAGSATTTCTCCTCCCATCTTCTCTTTGTTGTCTGCAGTTGGTAGACATYTTTTTACTACTCAATGTTCTGAAAAGTCTCCTGTCCCTCCCTCACAGTTGTATGTGAATAGTTACAGTTAATAGTTGTGTCTGAATCCCATAGTGTTGCTGATAAACTTCATAGCTCAACCACACATCAGAAAAAAAATATTTCAATGAGGCCAGACCCGTTTCCCCTTCTGAGGGACATGTAGCTCCCTCTTGTACCTGTGTAGTCCCCTGATAATAAAAGCATGGAGGAAGCTTGCTAMGCCCTTAGCTAGCACCCAGCACCCTGTCCCAGGGGATGCTGAGGAGGCAGGATGATATCCAGCACTACACAACTCCTCTATCAAAGCTACTGTCCTTGGAAAAAAAAAGATTGGAGGCTCCAGTGCAAAWACAACATAGAAAAGAAGTGGGAGAGAAGGGAGGATGAGGAATAAGAGGCTCCTTGGATTAAAAAGTAGTCTCACACCTGGCGCAATACCCAATTAATAATTCAGCCAATGATATRTTATTAATGTAGCTAATTCAATTAATTTTAATATTTAAGAACATGAATGAAAGATGCACATACACACTGCACGAACTGCAGGTGCTCCATCACGTGCAAACAGAGCTTCTTTCTCATTCAGATATTCTAGCCATGTTCATAACAACACACCATGCAACAGCACAGAAAYGGTGACACTCTTCCCAAAAGCTGGGTGCTAAGAGGCCTCGGGCTAATCTGCAATGTGAGAACCAGCACTAAGGAGTTTTTGCAGTGCTACGGAGAGCCTCCTCAGCACTAAAACCAGGMGGAATGCCGTAGCTCACAGAAAAAGCCCCAGCCCCACATTAACCCCGCTGCCCTTAGGCACTCACCTGAGTACTCAAGCTCAGCACCATTTGCCTCTGCTCCGTGTGGATTCAATAGTCTCCTCTGGAGAGCAATTCCCATCTTGTATAGGCCAAACTAAACACCGTGAGAGCTGCAGCTATTCTCTTAATTTAGGTTCTTCAGTTCCTGGAGTCCATTTTTAGGGAAATAAACACCTTTTCCAGTCTGCCCCATCTTCTACATACAATGTGCCTCAGTGTTCTGAGTAGCTTTCTCCCCAACAGTTGAAGGGTTTGCTTTTCATATGTCCCTATACACATACAAACTACTTTCAGTCTTTGCCCAAGTCCCTCTCTGCAGCTGAATTACACACAGAAGTGGATCTGCTTCCTCATTAAATTTATAGCAGAATCTTATGCAATCTACCAAGCAAGAAAGGCTATTTTTGACCATCATAAATAAACCGATTTTTATTAATCCCTCTGCAAACTTCATAGCAGTGCCCAGTCCATCCCTGCTAGCCTTTCAAGTGCCAGATGCAAAATATGTTCAGATAGTAATAAATCAGAGACCAGTTTTACAGTCCTGTTGATATCCAGCCTCTATTCTGCAGCCAGCAAGTGACTGTAAAGCCGAGTGTGCTTTGAGCGCTGCAATGATGTCTTATCTCTAGGACTTTTATTTGATCTCCTTCAGATAAACCCCTCACGGTGCAGCTCACGGACTGGATGTTGCGAGGGACCTCTCAGGTGATGTTTGTCAACAACCCTCTCAGTGGGCTGCTCATTTTAGTGGGGCTTTTCATCCAGAATCCCTGGTGGACGCTCACAGGCTGCACTGGGATGGCCGTTTCGACATTGACAGCCCTGACCCTCAGTCAGGACAGGTAGGTGGTACCTTGCATCACGGCTCTTAATGACAGTTGATCACTACGTTTTCAAGGATGGGTTGTAGCCCCCTGTTTCTGTAGCTTTGCTCTTAAGTAGCCTAATAACAAGTTAGGTAGGAGAGTGATTTGGGGGAAAATGGTGGCAGTTTTAGTCTTAGCCATGAGTTTGGTCACCCAGTGACCAAACACTGTAAGGGCTTAGGCTAAGGATCAGCCAACTCAGGTAAATAAACTACTGAACTCAGCACATCACCAGCGCTGGCTCACAGATCTCACTGTGCCTCAACATGTCTTCTACTCCACATCAACACCTCAGGCCCCCACAGCATCCCTCCTACCYATCACACGATACACTCACCACCCTACAGGATCCCTTACTGGCTTCTAAATATCCCCACGTGCCCCACAGCATCTCCCATGTCACTGACAACACCTCCAGCTCTTCAGAAGTCCCTATAGCTCCATGCACATCCCAGCACTGCTCCATGTTCACAGAACCACAGAAGCCAGGGAAGCCACCTGTGACTTCTCGGTTCCCCTTCTCTCTCAGTCATTGACTCTTGAAAGAGTTTTGGTGCTTAGAAAGGACCAATTGCAGGTGCAGATTTGAGAGAGCTTTTTTTTTSATTACTCTTTTCCTATGTGTCTCCTGTTTTAAGACTCCATGGGTCATTCCAGCTAATCCAAGCTAAGGAGGTCTTGCAATCCCCTCTTGTTTAGTCCCTTCTCTTGGACTGGGAGAGGCAGTGTCACGTTCACAGTGCCAGSTCAAGAAGCACCCAGGCTCGCAGCTAAAAGCTGGCGGAGCAGCTCACGGAGGGCATGGAGGCGGTTAGGTGAGGACAGCACTGTGCTCCCCTGCTAGGACCCCTCAGGAAGGGGCATATGAGCTGACTGCAGCTGTAAGAACAGCCGGTTGCACCTCTCTGGTTACCATTGGGATATGCCATCCTTTCAATCTCCTTGGTTCCCAAGGTCACTGCAGATACCCGTCACCAACCAACAGCCTCCAAACTATGTCTTTCACATCCCAGACTGCGCTGAGCAAACAGCAGCTACCTTGTTGCTCGTTCATCCTTTCCCTACGGTCCCTTTATCAGGAGTAGGACACTTAGAAATGGCATTTCTGGGACAGGCCACCTTCAGCAAAGGTAAATTCCTTGCACCCACTTCTTCCATCTGCAGGTCTGCCATTGCAGCAGGTCTTTATGGCTACAACGGGCTCTTGGTGGGACTCCTCATGGCCGTCTACTCTGACAAAGGCGATTACTACTGGTGGCTCCTGCTTCCAGTGGGGGTTATATCCATGGCCTGGTAAGTGCCACTTCTCCTCGCCCCAGACACTGCTCCTATAGAGACAATTGCTCAGAGAATGAGGAACACAAATGGTTCTTACGTAGCCAGATGCTGAACTGAGATGGAGCTTTCTCTCCAACTGAGCTGAATCTTCCCCATCTTAGATATCAATCTGGAGATGGATGAACTACTCCAACTAACCAAGCGCCAGACGACATCCTTTTAAGATCAAGTTTACCATTCTTACATGCAGACCTTGACAGCACTACAGAATCCATTTATCAGCCTTCACCGAAATTAATTCAAGGTTTACATTTTAATCATTGTTAGTGATAAGATAAAAATCATTATTGCATTTCACTGCTGCTAAAATAAGATTTCTTCATATTTTATTTCTTTAGTCACTCCAAAGGAAGGTCATTTTGTAACAGCCTCTCAAAACCCAGAACATGTTGCAAGAATGTTTAGTCTGTCTTGTCTGCCAAAATTCCTTGAGGCTTTTTTATTCAAACTTTTTTCTTCTTTTTAAGTTTGTAAAACCCRAGGCAGAGCTGAAAGATTTTAAAATTAGACATTTCAGAGATTTTTTTCCAACTGATACTTTGAATCTCAAGTTTAAATCTCAAGTTTAAAAGCCAGCATTTTTGAATTCTTTTCTCCTTACAAGATGTGTAACTGGCAGAAATTATGTATTTCAACAGAGAAAATAGGACACCACTTTCACAGAAGTGCTGACTTTTTTTCCACAGCTACAAGCAAGGAAATCTGTAAAGTGCTCTGGAAACTGAACTTGTGATAAAATAATAGACTTCATCTGAGTGAGATTACACAGGGAGAAGAAAGCATTTTCTCACTGATACTATCAACACAACAGGACACAAGATGTTGCTTTTGAAATGCCAAATATATATACATTTTAAATTAGAACCAGCTTACAACTTTCTAGGACTCAAACACAGCTTCTTGAAAAACAATGTGTGTTTAACTCTAATTTTAAGTGTATAATGTCTACTCCTACTTGGAGGTTAACTGTTAAGCGCAGCTCAGCTCACACACATCAGGGAAGGTTGACATCAACAGAACATGGCCCATTTCCATCAAGGACAGGACCTGGCTTTTCTCTCCATCCCACRTGCTTTCTGAGCCTCATAAGCACCTGATACCTTGTCCATGTGCTCCCAGAAAGGCCAGTCATGCAGGACACCCTCCTCAAACAGAAATGGGGCACTCTGGAAATCTCCTAGGCAAAGCAGGTCTTGTGAAATGTATGTCCCAGTTTCTACAGTCAAGACCTTTGGGCAAAGCCACAAACACCCTTTCAAAGGCATCTGAGCATTTCTTTGATCTCTAAATCATCTGAGAGTCACCCCAAGTACTTTACATGCTAAATAGGCTCAGTCACATTTCTTAAGAGGGAAGCTCAGTTTACAGAAAATTCCATATAAATTTAGAAGCATACAGTAACATCATGAACTTATGATCAATATGGTAGGATGTTTTGCCCCTGTAACCACTACAAACAACTTTTCTTTATAGCCCAGTCTTGTCCAGTGCTTTGGCATCAGTCTTCAGTAAATGGGACCTTCCTGTTTTCACTCTGCCTTTCAATATTGCGGTAACTTTGTATTTGGCTGCCACAGGACACTACAACGCCTTCTTTCCTACAACCCTCATCCAGCCTGTAACGTCAACACCCAACATCACCTGGTCTGCAATCAATGTGCCCCTGGTAAGCCTCCCTACACCACCTAATTTACCTCATTTCATTAAGAAGGTGGGTGTGAAGGCATTCAGTTCTGGATATCAGGTTTGCACGGGTCATGGTGTCCATCCTTAACAAGTGATACTACTGTAATAGGCCTAGAGGCAGCTTTGGCTGATGCCCAGAAGGGCAGATAGAGGCTGGTAGAAGAAAGATCTTGGACTTCTCAYTCAACCTGAAGTTAGACTGCCCCAAAACAAGTCTCAAGTGACACTGATACAGAAGCACGGTACAAAAGCACATCTGGATACAGAYGTTATAGCCTTGTTATAGAAGCAAAATACACACATTCAAAGCCAATTCATACTCCCAAAGCAGCCTAAGGGGAACTTTAGTGAAGAACAAAAATGGCAACTTGTCCAGGCAAGAATTCTATGGTGGTGCTGGCTAATTTGAGAACCTCCTTGGGCTCCTTATGTTCTAGGCCTTAGCCAAAAAGGTTTGCAGCACCTCCTGTTTATATGCTTCCTATATAGTAGGGTTTTTTTTCCTCCTATCCTTTATCTCTTGGCTGAACAAACACTAGAATCACAAGAAAGGCTGCTCTCCAGTTTCATATTCAAGAGGACCATCTGTTAGCCAAGAATTTATTTAGGTGGGCTAGGAGCTATACTGGGGTTACCCACTTATCTCCCGTGTCACTTTGGTGAGCACATGCTTCACGTACTCAGTTGTATCGATAAATCTGTCTTGTTCAATGGGATTGAACATTTCCACAGGATTTGTTGAATTTGCTCAATAGGATTGGAATTGAATTGGATTTGTTCAATAGGATTTCCCATTTTCAACAGGAAAGTGTCCTGCATTATTTCATCAGCCTCATCAGCTGCATTTATTAGAAATTTTTGGGGAAACTCTGTCATATACACTAAATTTTAGGAGTATTGGACTAAAATGCCTTCTAGAACAAATCTATTTAGTCCCATACAGAGCCAGGACTGGAAAAATAGCGTACTGCAATTCTGGTCTCTTCTTCATSCTACAACACACATGATAACTACTCTCAGTACCAAGAGCCAGAAGAACCCACTTGAGTCCCTAAGAGGGACTTCACGAATCATTTTTGCAGGCCTTCATTTTTACAGAGACATTCTCCTGAGCTGATCCCTTTCTAACCAATAGCTTGGACAGAACAGCAGCTGTGTCCTCTTGAGTACAATGATACCCTAATGTGCCCTTTTCTACTGGATGCTGCAGCTCTTGCAGTCCATTCCAGTCGGTGTCGGTCAAGTATATGGTTGTGAAAACCCTTGGACCGGAGGCATCTTCCTCGTGGCTTTACTTATCTCCTCCCCACTGATCTGCTTACATGCTGCAATTGGATCAACAATAGGGATGCTGGCAGGTAAGAAACAGTATTTACAAAAGTCTTTTTTATTATCTAGGACATTTTCAGCTAAGCCATTATATAGTTCTGTCTAGACTTRGCACTTTAATAAAAAGAAAGAAAAAAAAAAGGTTACATAAACACCATCCAAAAAGGCCCRTCTCTCCACTATCAAAGAAACAACCAACCTTAAATTGAGAGATGAATCTGACTCTTGAAGTTAGGCAAGATTACTGCTATCTATTTGCTCAACTGTAATAAAAAATGTGATTAAGTACAGTCTGAGAAACTTGCTTTTAAAAAAAGGCATAAATTCTTATTTGTGGTCTGCAATGCTCTGCACGAGATGAGAGCTGCCTTGTGTCTGAGTTTTAAAACAAAGCTGTACACATTTTGCATGGCTAAGAGCACTTGGCAAGTTTTGTATAGATCTGATAACCTTGAAATGAAAGATCACGAGAGAGTATTTGGAAACACGCGTGGTGATGAGGAACAGAAAGCAAACGAGGACATCACAGTGGGAAATATATTAATCTTAAAGGTGGTATCAACAGACATCACAGTGGGAAATATATTAATCTTAAAGGTGGTAGCAGCAGCTACACTCAGCTGAGAAAAGCTGGGAACACACTACAGTGGCCTGTTGTGTGATTTATCCAGTGATATATATGTGATATATAGTGACAGCACTATACACTGTGCTGTCCTTTTCACTGGCTGGGACGAAGCCTGTGAGAAATCCTGCAGAGGCTCTTGCAAGGCCAGGCTGGGAGCAGACCCTGCGCTCCTGTCCCACTGGAGTACTGTGTTCAGTTCTGGGCACCCCAGTATAGGAAGGACGTGGAGCTTCTGGAGAGGGTCCAGAGAAGGGCAACCAGGATGATTAAGGGAATGGAACATCTCTCGTATGAAGAGAGGCTGAGTGAGCTGGGCCTGTTTTCTCTGGAGAAGAGATGGCTCAGAGGGGATATGATTAATATGTATAAGTTCAGGAAGGGAGAATGCAGGGAGGAAGGGGACAGGCTGTTCTCACTGGTGGCCAGCGATAGGACGAGGGGTAATGGCCACAAGCTGAAACACAAGAAGTTCCGTCTCCAGGTGAGGAGCAACTTCTTTACTGTTAGGGTAACAGAGCAGTGGAACAGGCTGCCCAGGGAGGTTGTGGAGTCTCCTACTCTGGAGGTCTTCAAAACCCGCCTGGATGCCRCCCTGTGCCACATGCTSTAGGTGTGCCTGCTTGAGCAGGAAGGTTGGACTAGATGATCTGTAGAGGTCCCTTCCAACCTTAAATATTCTGAAATATTCTGAAATATTCTGAAAGTTTCCACAGCAGTGATGGAGTGGCCACATTGCGGGGACTAACTACAACACGATTAATGTACAAAGAGTTTTGCCTGAAAGAGTCCTCGAGACTGGGCCAAACTCCATCTCGAGGGACCTCACCACAGCTCCAAAATAGCCCCATTTGAGCTCATCCTTTCCCTGCACGTGGCAACGATGTGAGCGTGAGCACAACTGAACTGATCCGCATTGGTGTCCCAAGGAAAACCCAGYGGGCTTTCTGCTCTGTGCCTTGCAGCGCTGACCCTCGCCACGCCGTTCGACAGCATCTACCTGGGCGTGCACAACTACAACTGCGCGCTCGCCTGCGCYGCCGTCGGAGGCGTCTTCTATGCCCTCACCTGGCAGGCTCACCTGCTGGCCCTCGCCTGCGGTACGTGTCTGTCACCAAGGCAAAGCCAAAAAGTCGTTTATTTCCATGTTGCCACTGGGGTGGAGCTCTGGATGGCCAAGCTGCAAGTGCAAGAAGGGGTTTTATGCCCTCTTAGCATAAAAAATTATCTAGGAAGGGCAGAAATACAGTTTATGTGAGATGAAGGCTGTGTTTTAACAGATTATATATATTTTTAAAACATATCCTTAAAGGAAGTGTGCCAGAGGAACATCAGAGCTGTTGCATGTGGTTGCTTTATGATCGATCTATCCAAAACCTCATCAGCAGCCTAAGATAGACACTMTGGGAAGAGTTTAAGCACAGCATAAGCATACAAAATATCCCCATAGGGAGCCACTGAGCCTCTAATTATTTGCAATTTGGCACTTCAGCAGCTTCCCTGAACTGAGTGCAGCTCCTGCGTATGCAGCTTTCCCTTCCATGACTCTGCCCCTGGGCCCCTGACCTCAGCTCCTGCTTTTCCACCTATGAGATCCTGTGGCTAGGAGCCCTACAACTAACTTCTTGTGGTCTAAAGCTGCAAGAGAGAGTGGTGGAGAGCGGCCAGAGTGGCCATGATTCCCAACCACACAGATCAAGTTGTGTCAATGGATAAAACAGATGCCACTGTCACCTATTCTCGACAAAACAGAGGGCTTTTCATGCACCACCTGCCTAAAGAAAGCAAACCTAGGATAAATTTAGCTCAGACAGGCAGGTGTAGCACCTTAAAATTCAACAGTCAGTGAGGATGCCTATGCTAATCTCACAACATATAGCTGGGAAGATACTTTAAAAGGCATTTGGAAAGAATTACTATTTCTGACAGTTTCTTTGGAAGGATGAGCAAGAATTTCTCTATCTTCAGTTGTCTGCTGTCTTCTTTTCTCAGCATTGTTTTGTGCCTACTCTGGAGCAGCTCTTACTAATATGCTATCTGTGGTAAGTCTGGTTTTGTTCTTTTTCTGTTTTTTGTTTTTTGTTTTTTAAAATAAATGTATTCTGGCTTTGTTATGATATCCAAACATGGAGAATTCTATGGCATTTCCTTGACAACTTTGACAGTACTGAAGTGTGAATTTTGCAGCCAGTGGCAGGTTTTGCAGAGTCTGTGTCAGTTGAATTGTGCACTTAGAGGCTCTGCAACTGATAATAAGATTTCAAAGACCTTCAAAGCACCTTATCCACAGCAGCAGTATGCGCATATACGAGAACTCCAGCAACAACTCAGTTTGAGAGATGATATTCCGTTGCACGACATGTTTTTGAGCAAATTCTAGTGGTCTAAACTTTTCTGTGATTCTTCTGAGGTCTTTTTCTCCCCCATTATTATTCAAGTTCGGTCTGAATATAAGAACTAATTTAATGGGAGGAAAACACATTTTTCTGTTTTTCGATCTGTCCAACTGCACTGGTCTCCCAGGAAGGTGAAGCTAGTATTGTCAAGCTTTGTTTCTTTCTAAGGTCTCTCTGAGAGACCTAAGCAAAATCATACTTTAAGGAAATAATTGATTTAGCAAGGTAAAAGAAAAAAATAAAACAAGCAGCTTCACAATAAATGTATTCACCTGACATCTTCTCAGTACAGTGTAGGTCCAAGCAGAGGGTGATTCTGTTAAGTACACCTGCTTTTAGGATGCACCAGAAATGGGATGCCCATGGGGAGTTTGTTTTCCTATAGATGAAAGACCTGGAAAATCAGAGCTCCAAAAGTTAAATTTTTGTAATCTACTCAATTTGCCCACCTGGACCTGATTAAATCTGCTACTTTTTATTCCCCCTTGGGAGGCTGGTATTGGCTGGTATTGGCAGGTCACAGAGCAAGACAGAGRGTTAGACTCAATGCCTGTTGGGTGTTGAGGGTGTTGAGGACAGTGAGATAGTGAATGTGTGTGAACGGTACCTTGCTGGGCAGTGTAAGTAGGATTTGGTTGGTGGATTAGAGCATTTAAATATCTGCCTGTGAGCTGCACATCTTCAGGCAAAACCAGCAGAGCTCTGGAGCTTGATCCAGTTGCTTAAATATTGCTGCCTCTCCCAGCTCCTCAGCTGCAAAAGTTCAGCAAGAGGCAGAAGTGAGAAAGGGAAGCATGCAGAGAGAGATGCCAAAATGCCCCGTCTGCCCTTTCCTCTCCAGGTGGGACTGCCCCTCTGCACGTGGCCCTTTTGCTTCTCCGCACTTCTCTTCTTGCTGCTGGCGTCGGACAACCCAGCCATGTACAAACTGCCCCTCTGCAAAGTCACCTACCCGGAGGCCAACCGCATCTACTACCTGAGGATGCTGAGAAGAGTATCGGAGAGCAGAAGAGAGGAGCAGAAAGGAAAGGAGCTGAAATCCTCTGGTGATCTGAAAACCCAAATCAGAGGCACCCCACTGTGCAGTCCCAAAAACAGCCACGGTTACTGATTTCCAGCAGTTGCAGCGATTTTTTCAGCTCCTAGCAAAGCAGCAATTCTCTGTAGTTACCAATACACCTCCAGCAGCATTCTGCAGGCTGGGGATGCTGCATAGCACGCTTTGGAGGAAACACGATTTGCCCTTGAGCTAAGCTGTCTAAAAAGCACTCAGGTAATGCAGTAAATGGCTGTCTTATCAATCCACACGCTGTTAACTTGAAAGCCAGCTCTTATCAGCAATAATTATGAGAATAGGCAGAAGAACATAAACACTGACACGAGGCTGTATTTAATTTTGGATGGGTAATTTAACAAAATAAATATGCTGGGGGAGAASTTTTTATGTAATAATGATAAATAATGTAAGAACTGCATCAAGTGCTGCACTTTGAATTAAGAGCATTTACGTCTCAAAATGGAATAAACAAACTGATCTCCTCCTTCCTTGTTTCCCCACTGATGTCTAACCTACTTTATCCTACTTTAATGGGTATAGTAAATACAGGTAATATTCTTTCAGAATTTATCCTATATTTAGGGGTGGCTCCTGTCTCACCATTTAGTTCCAAGACTATGAAGATATGAATATATGTGCTTTAATCAACTGGAAAAGTGACTAGGCAATAAGGGTTGCAAACACCTTTGTCCTTGCATCATTTTCACTCTCTTACAAGTGGATTTGTCTCCCACTGAATGCATGGGAGCAAGTCTGATCCCTGAACATATCCAGTGGGAAACTGGGAGACTTCACATGAACAGTCTTTGACATGAAGACTGAGACAGATGTTTGCAAATGGTAGCAGTTATTGTAGATCTTTTTCTCCCATTCCTTACARCGAGTATTTCCTTACATTAAGCCATAAGTAATCACCTAGCAAAAGGTTCCTCTTGTCCAAGTGTTGGATTTGGATCCTCTCACGTGTCCTCGGTGTCTGRTCCAGGCCACCACAAGCTCCCAAAGCTCCAGAGGAGATGGTCATAGGAAACYTTGAGGACCTTCTTACTGCTCTGTTCCCAGTGGGTGGCAGTTTGTAACAAGTCCAAGGTAGGAGGAGAATGCTGCCACTTTATGTTCCCTCCAAATCCTTACAGTGAGGAAAGGCCTTAACAGGGACTTTTCTTGGAGCCATTTACTAAAACCACCACGAAACAAGTCTAATAGAAAGGCTTCCTCATTCTGAAGTCACTTAGTTAGGACGCTTGGTTTCCTTCAACAGCAAAGAGCCAACTTTGCTGGACTCCAACAGGCTCTTTGGCCAAAGGTGACTGGGGGAAAAGGGCTTTCCCTGCCAAGCAAACACAGACCCAAAGGACTTGAAGATTTAAGGTAAAAATCCAGAGAGACTATGCAATCACACAATACTCAGATTAGATACCATCCTTTCCCTTCTCTTGATATGATTGAAAACAACCACATGAGGAAGTTTGGTCCCAGGAAGAGGAGTAAGGAGCAGGTGTAGGACTGAGAAACCACTAACCAGGCAAAACAGATTGTTTGCAGAAATAATCCATTATCAAGGCACTGGAGAGAGGTGATTAAGCCCTTCAGGTATAACTGAGGGCCGCTGGAAATGGAGTGAGAGTCTTGCCCGGTGTTGAAGATCATTTGTAAGCTGCACATGCAGCTGCAGGGTGACTCGTGAAAAAAAGCAACCGAGGTCAAAGACATCATCAGAAAAGATGTTAGCAGGCTGGCAAGAAAGCACAGGGCCACAGGAAAACAGTGAGGAAGTCAACACTGGTCACAAAGCAGTCTCCTAGGGTCACTGCAGACTGCAAGATTGTAGATAAGGACACCCTAGTGTGACCATTTTTCAGAAACAAAGAAAACTGGAAGAACACATGAAGTTACACACARCTGTCTGGACACCTTCCCTCTATACAGGCCAATGAGACACTGGGCTCACCCAAGACAGCCAGACCTGGTCACCTGCCCTGCACAGTTTAGTTTAGCTCCCACATGCATCCAGCATCAGAGAAACATTTTATTAGTAACAATGTAAAACTAAAATACTCTAATAAAATCAGCTAAAATATTAGAATGGATATTATTGAAGAAAAAATTCAACTGGAATTAATTACAACATGCAGCATTATTTAGCTTTAAAGAAAAAGTCCAAGCACAATTCAGCTATTGGAAACTATGTCATGTAAAAGACACTACGAATGTAATTTCTCGGTCACAAACAAATCCATCCTGAAATCAATTAGCGAAGCAATTGCTGGAGTTGCAGCCATCCATAAACAGCAGAGCATAAACAGAGCTGTTAAGCCTGTAGCTAATCAGAAGTTTTGAATAACTGCAGTCAGCACTTCTAATTCTTATAAACAGAGCAAATATGAAGGATCTCCTAGAAGTGAGCAGCAGATGAGAGAAGCACTAACTATCACAGGTCAAGTGCTCAAGCCCCAGCACTCCAGCCCTTCCGCAACACCCTGCACGGCCCATATTCCATCGAAGAGCTACCTTTTGCTTTCTACTCATTTGCCTTTCTTTTAGCAAGATCCAAGTTAGAGGGGAGGTCTTAGAATAGGGTGGCACTCTGTGCAGGAGTTTGTAGCTTGCAAGGGCTCAGGCTGGACATGTTTGCTTCCTTTGGCTTCCATCGGGAAGCTCAGCTGAAGCCAGGTCTCAACGTTAAGACTGAAATTGTTAACTAGGCTTAGGAAGAGTTTCACAACTTAGAGGTGCCAGAGCTTTGCCAAGAGCTGTCAGGGAAAAAAAAAATAGCCTCAGGCTATTAGGGAATGTATGTTTAAAAATACATTTGCATCCTTCTGGATGTAGGAAGTGGCAGCATCTTTCCCCCAGCTCAGATGCAGCCCATGCTCARCACCATCTCAGGTCCCTGCAGGGAAGGAAATGACCAACCAGGAGGGATTTTGACAGAAGGGAACAGCAGAAAGAGTAAAACAAATCACCCCAAATCTGCCAAGGGCCCAGGGTGTGTTTCAGCTGTCCAGCCCACAGAAAGAAACTCCAGCAATGGAAGCTGTAACCCTTGGACAGGCCTAAGACTCACTCAGAATTTGATCTGGGGCCACAGTGTCATTTACATACCCAAGTACAGGAACCTGGGAATGCTCAAATCCACCCTGCCAATGTATATATAAAAAAAGCATTTTATAAATCACTTCTTTGTGAATCTTGACACCAATAACATGAATATGACTGAACCTCAGATCAAGGCCAGAACTATTTTGGTCCAAATCTAGTCTACCTGGTAGTGTTCAAGAAATGTGCAGATGAAGCACTTTTAGGGACACAGTTTAACAGGCATGGTGGTGRTGGGTTTACGGTTGGACTTGATCTTGAGTGTCTTTTACAAGCACAGTGATCCCATGATTCTGTGATTCTAACATGGAGACCTATCTACCCTGCACAGGGCAGCAGGACCTCAGCATGAGCTGAGGAGAAATGGAGTCCTCCCTGCTGGGCTGCGAGGACTTTGAAGGTCCAAAACAGTATCTCAAAACTCAAAACACACTCAGTTGGTGCTGGCCTGAGTAACTGAGGTTTGATTCTGGACCCATCCTGGAGCTATGTTCACAGAATCACACAGATCGTAGAAAGGTTGAGGTTGGAAGGGACCTCCAGGGATCATTCAGTCCAGCCCCCTGCTCCAGCAGGGACACCCAGAGCTCGGGGCACSCGGTCACATCCCAGCGGGTTGGCAGATCTGCAGAGCAGGAGCCTCCGCAGCCTCCCTGGGCAGCCTGGGCCAGGGCTGGGCACCYTCMCACCAAACAAGTTCTTCCTCACAGGSACATRTTGCTGCCCGGGCTTCAACTTGGACCCATTGCCCCTTGTCCGCCACTGAGAAGAGCTGGGCCCCATCATCCCTACATTCCCCCTTCAGGTATTTACACATATTTACCAGGTCCTCCCTCAGCCTTCTCTTCTCCAGGCTAAACAGGCCCCACTCGCTCAGTCTTTCCTCATACAACAGATGCTCCAGTCCTTCATCATCTTTGTTGCTCTCCAGGTGTTTTTGCACCTGGGAGAGGAGCCTTGAGTCCTACACAGCTCCTCTCAGAGCTGAGGGAAATAAGCACTTTTAAGGCAGTTTCCCAGACTAGCTTTAGGCTGCTACGAATTGAGGGAGCCAAATGCAGATACTTGTGTTTAGTCGGCCAAACACCACCCAAACACCCAGCCAACTKCATTCAGAAGTGACAGAGAGGCACTCAGGAAAGAAGAGCAGCACTTAAACATGGTTTCTATCTCAGGCTGCTCAAAAAACATTCATTACAAGCTGGCAAGAACAGAGAATAATACAGCAACCTGCTGTGAACACGCGTGCGGGGACAGCAAATTAGTTTTCCGAGGAGAATCCCAGATAATTGTTTAACAGTGAAATGTAACAGCAGATGCACTCATAGGAATTATCTGAAGAGAAGCAGAAAGATATAACCAACCTTTGTTCAGCTAGGAAAATACAGAGGCTACAAAGGTAGGACTCAGGATCTTCCATCTATCCTTGTAGCAGGTTAAACCTGGCACCCAGGCATCTTCTCTCCTGCTAGCAGGTCCAGGACTGCCAGGAACAGCAGCATTTTTGGAGACCACRATAGGAGATGGTGACACCTCGCAGCTCTGGGAGGTCACCCGATGTTGCTTATACACAGTGATGGCAAGGAGCTCCTAAAATTCCCACTTGCTGGGAGGACACTCCGTGCTTTCTCAAGGCCAGCTATCTCAAATGGACAAATATTCCAAATATTCCAAATATTCCTATTGCCCAGCCTTTTATAGATTACATTTGCCTAAGTAAGAGAAATGTCATTTTAAGGGTGAGATCTGTGTGCTAGACACTGTCCTCTCCTCCCCTAAAATACACAGGAGGGTGTAGGTTAATTTGAAAGATGGAAAAAAAAGAGACCAATTAGGAAACAAACACTTGGTTGCATTTGACTTTGCAGTTCTCAGGGGGTCTTCTACAAGCTCCTGCAGCTGTTGCCACAGCTGGATTTCACACATCCCTGAGGTTGACTGAGAAAGGCAGGGAC